TCTCTGGTTCCCTCTAGTTAACCTTCAAAGCCCAGTCTTATCTTTTGTTTATTTTCAAAATGGAAATTTTCCCACTGTGAAATTGCTTGCTGTTAATTCCAAAATCATCAGCTATATTTTTATAAATTTCAGAACAGTCCATAAAAACGATTCTTTCAGATTCATCTGGCCCCTTATCTGTCCACAGTTAATATTCTTAGCTCACTTTCACTGCTTTCTAAAAGTTAAAGTTTTTCTTTTTAATCTTAAGACTTACTTAAATCTTCTTTCTTCTTGGATAGAAGGAAATTCTCCCGGTGTGCAGTAACTTACCTTTCAGAAGGTTTTTAATTTCCAAATAAAACACAAATAAGTAGTTTCCAACAGTAATTAAAAGAGGAAGTGAAAGCAAACCTAGTGTCCTTTGAAGGCTCCACACTGCAGCTTGGGCTCGATGTTTCCCACAACTCCCAGAGCGCTCAACTTGCTGGGGATTGCAAATTTGCAATCTCTTCACAGGGGGCCTCTGTAAGGAGTGCTTGTGGATGATCTAGACATCCCCTTTATACAGAGATGGTTCCCAGGAGCCAGACCTTTCGTTGGCTTCTCTTAACTGCCACAGCTGTTGGGTCCGCAAAAATGGAACCGTCCTCAATCGACCATTACTCCCCTGGAAGTGCATGGTTCACCGTGAATTAACCACCACATCGTAATTAATTTACATTGATCTACATAAATACTTTTTTTCTGTTTAGATATTTCTTGCTTTTATGTGACCATTTTTTAAAATTCCTCCTTTCTCTGATATATGTGAATATATATTCAATTTATCATTTTTTAAAAAACGTGTTAGCTAATCCACAGCTAGTAAATGTAGAACATCAATTAAAATACAAATAAATTCTATAAAAAATAAATAAGCACAGTAAAACACTAAAAAAAAAAAAAAACAGCTGCAGAGACTATACAACAGTGTAATCCATAAGATGATGAAAGATGAATAAAAATATGCTTGCTGGTGCTAAAAAAAAGAAGTTGGAGTTATTGGCATGGGACTACTATTGAAAAGGCCCATTCTTGAGTAGAGACATCTAGTACTACATCAGGTGAATTCTGTCTAATGATGCCCTGAACCCTGATGATGCCCTCAAAGCTTTGGTAGAAATACTTGGGAAGAGTCACTCCGCTGATATTTAGTGGTGATGTTTCCCAATAGGTAACATCGTTAGCAGAATGAGGATGGAGTTAATTTTTCAAATCTGCTCCAAGTTATTATAAAATCTTTTAGAACAGAATCAGAGGAATCACCAAGGGTTGTAAGAAAGTGAGGCAGTAAGAGAAAATAATCTCTTCCCATTCCACCAATAGAAGTTTGTATTAAATCAGAGTTTTCTATATGTGGAAAAACATAATGGAATGCAAGCCACACTGTGCATACTAATTTACAGTAGCACTTTGTTTGACTTATACTCTGCCTTTCGACTATAGTAAGTAGTCAAGGCAATTCCCTAAAGAGTACTTCTTAGTAAGTACTTGAGTATTGAGGATTGTGGGATAACTCTAGAAGAGCCACCAGTGAAACTTGCAGTATAACCTTCAGAGTTTTAGAAGTTGTCTGGCCTCAAATAATGGCTAGTTGTTCCATAATGCTGTAAGTGATGGTTCACAGACACTTAACCATCAAACACACCCAAATCAATAGACTCTAATATATTGTCTTGTGCCCTATCTTTCCATTTTAGTTTCTCATTTGTCAGAAGGGATTGCAAATGATGATTGAGTATGCAATGAAAAAAATCTGCGTGTAAAGGAATTTGTATCTAATTATGCCATAGAAAATATAAAAAACAAATTATAACATTATGTTCTTTGATTTTGTTTTGTAGCCCAGATCATCCTGAAAACATCATTACAAATGGAATATTGGTGGTAATCATGGTTTATTTTCAAAAATATTTTCTAAAAATGATTGAGTCCACAGCACCCATTAGAGAGCAAGATGGAAACAGAAACTACATGTAATCAGGATTGTTCAACAATTGCAACAATTTTGTATGGATTGCAGCTGATACAGATTTGGCATGGCTTAGAACAAGGACCTAATCATCAGGCAACTCACTGTTAGCTGATTCTCCAGCTTATCACATGGGCTGGGGCAAAGAAAGGTGTAGTAGATTTTTACCAATACCCTGGATATGGGACAGTGCCATTTGGGGGTGCAGCTGGCATTCCAGTCTTTGAGATGAGGTGGATCCCATACAATGATCCCTTAATGGGAAAGTAAGGTATAAAAACAACTGGAATGGACTGGTGCCTGTACTCAGGGTGGTAATACAGAACATTATAACTAGGGGTATGCATAAGATATGCAAATACATGTTTACTTTAAAATGGATCATTCCAATCATTCCAGAATTGTTTTGAGCTTGAAACAGCCCAGCTGTAAGCCCAGAACATTTCTGGGGTTGTGATAATACTCTGTTTTGAGTGTGAAACAGTCTTCAAAATGTCTTGTGTACCCTTAATTAGAGCAACAATACTGATAATGAAGACCAAAAACCCTGCATCACGCCTAATCCAATCATGAAATTAGGTAGAATTTCCGGGAACCCATGATTAAACTTTTTTTCATAGAAATAATCATACTGATGGTGGGAGCTTATTAGGAGTGAGGGAGTTGCCATGGCCACGGATTCTTTTCATGCCATGGATGGGACAGAAGGCTCTCTTCCTCGGCTCCATCCCACTGATTCTGACCTTTATTAGGTCTATCCCCAGCAGTCAACAATGCTGGTTACTGACTTAGGTTGTCCAACCAGCAAGGCACATCATAGAGACTCATGGGTCATTTAGTTAAAATAAGTAAATACTAACTTTATTCCTTTCAGCGCACAACATTTGCATATATTCAGTAGTTTCAATAAGCCACCCTTTTTTCCAAGTCTCCTCTTCTTCCTCCTCCTCCTCCTCCTCCTTTGTTGATCATCCCATCTTCAATTGATTGGTTTCTTTTCTTCCTAACCATCACCAAAAACATATATGACAGAAGTATGTGACTCAGAATAAGATTATAATTACAGCTATTTTGTTCTCATTACGGCTTTGAAATTGTTAGACTGATGAGAAAAGTAACTTCTGAGAGATGCAGGTCACTTAATCTTGTGTGTCACAAACACTATTATGCTTTAGATATTTATGGTTGTTTAAAAAATAGGATAATTCTTACTATGAATCAGACAGGCTTACTCCAACTCATCACACAGCTAGATGTGTGTCCAACAGCTTTAGTCACACTATAACAGTTCAGTATAAGTACTGTCTTGTGACACAACCATAGCTCAATAACACAGTACAAGTTTTGCATACAGAAAATCTCATGTCCAATCCATAGTATCTCCACTTAAGATAGTAAGTGATATGGAGATGAGAGGTCTTGGAGACAGCCACTGCCAATCAGAATAGACTTGTATTGTATTATTCTACTCTTGAATTAACAAGTAATTTGACCTGGCATAAAACAGATTCTATGCCCCAAAATATATTATTGAATAGTATTAACTCTCAGAAATTATGTGCCCATTCATGTCATGAGATAGCTTCCATTCTCATAATGCTTGGGAACATGCAAATTTGACAACTGATTTACAAGTAATCTGGGTTCTGAGGAGCATTTGGCATATCATATCAAGGCTGAAAAATCTGGATGACCACTAGATGGCAGCAAAGAAACATAAAGCCCCCTAATTCTTTGCTGCTAGTTAGTGGTTGCCCAGATTTTTACAGCCTGGAGGAGGCTCCATCTACAGATCTCTGTAGAAGTGACATGTATGCACCCACTTGATGTTCCTGATAGTGGCAACACATTTTTGAAGTATCTCCATTATTAGCCACATATACTGTATGTGGGTCAAACTGATGAACTGATCTATATAGTCATGAATCTCCAGTTCCAATTGGCTGAGAGAAATAGAAGAAAAGGGTCAGGAAACTGAAGGTGCAAGAGTCAATAGAAATTTTGGGGGAAAGTATATGTATATTATGGGAGGAAAGGCGGCAGAGTAGCTGGAAAGTTGGAAACCCAGCAAGAGTAAACTTAGTAGGCTGAGGAAAAATGTTTGTACTAGTTTGGAATAACAAAATAGCATTCTTGATCAATGAATCTTTGTGTAACTGATATCCATTGTTCTTACAGTCACGCGAACTTTCATGTCTGGAGGTTAGAGTGGATATTGAGAAACTGAAGCAACAATTCACAAGTGAGGTCATTGCATTATTAACTGGTTTTACCTGTGTTGCTTTGGGTCAGAATTAGGAGGACTAAAATGCTATCTTTTCTATTATCTTTTAATTGTTTCAGCTTTTAATGATTCATTTAGAAGCGTACAGCATGTGACAGTGTGTGAATTTATTTTATAGCTCGTTGTCCTTACCTGAATACAAACAGTAACCCCTAAAGCCACTCTGAGGGAATCACCATTTCTTACTACCTGCAATACCTCTGAAATGACACTCATACTGACAAAATGTCATTTCTGAGGCATTGGGAGAAAATATGGTGGCTTGACAGCATGCTGATTTGGAACTCTGTCACTGCAAGAACGGTGGACCAGTTTCTTATAGAAAGATCATGGGCACAAGCTGCTCTGCCATTTGTGAAGGTAACCCCTCCCCCCTCCCCCCTCCCCAGGGGCTGAAATTTTTAAGAAGCTGCTCTTGAACTAAGAAAAATACTACTTTTGT